TCGTTCTGCATTGCAGATCACTGTGTACGACCAAGAGAACTTCCAGGGCAAGAGGATGGAGTTCACTTCGGCCTGTCCGAACATCATGGAGTGCGGCTTCGACAACATCCGCTCCATGAAGGTGGAGTGTGGCGCGTGAGTACCCGGCCATGGGATGCTTCCTTGGGTGGGCTGACAGGGTGAGGGGTGCCTGGGCTGGAGCAAAGCATTTGCAGCCAGGGGAGGCCAGGCACAGGGAATCCCACCAGGCAGCCCTGCCAGGGCCAGAGGGCCAGAGGACAGTGGTGATGCCCTTGCCATCCTCACACAGTCTTGGAGCCGGTGACTCACAAGGATGCTGCTCAAGGGTGCAGCAAAGCGACTGGCTCTTGAGCTCAGCCTGGTCCCCATCCTGCATGTGTAACCCCATCAAGCACCTAGAGAACCACCATTCTTGCCCCAGGGCCCTGCTCTGTCCCATGCTTTCCCCACAGCATGCAGCTCCCCATGGCCACAGCAGAGCCTTCCCACAGCCTGCACTGAGCTGCCCCAGTTGATGGTAGGGGTCTGGAGCAGAGCTGGGCTTCTCCCTGAGCACAGGAATCTTCCCTGGCATAGACAAGCCATGTCCTGAGCTGCTCCAGACGCTGTGTGTAAGGATGGTCCCCACGGCGAGCATCCCGCTGGGGCTGGGAAGCAGACAGGATAGATTTGTGCTGCTATATTTAGGGTTTGTAATGCTAATGGGATTACAGCGGCGTGTGCGCTCACGCCGTAATCAGCTCGCTGCTCCAGTTGACATGTTCCTAATCAGGCTGTTCACCTTGCATGGGGGAGCCTGACTGTGGCACATGGGACTGGGGCTCAGTTTGGGTCAGTGGCAAGAGGCTCTCGACGCCCCCAGGCTCACTGTGCACCTCAGCACCCCACATACCCCATAAGCAGGGGGGCTGTGGTGTGCACAGCCTGTGCCATTGCCTTCCAGCCCCCAGCCCAGACTCTGCCTCCCACTCAGTTCCAGTTGTCCATCCCGGTCTCTGTAAGGGGATGTCCCCACCCTTGGGGACAGGCAGAATATTGTCTAGGCAGCACCAGGGCTTGAAAATGTGTCCTGCCAGGATGGAAGCATCATTCTCTCACCTCTCCTTGCTTGTCTTCAGCAAAGAGGGGGGACCCAGGAAGGGGAAAGGATCAGGAATTTGGGCTTTTCCAGTTGTGCCAGGTTGTAATTGGAAAACAAATAAGAAACGAGGCGTTTTGGGAGAGAAGGGCAGCAAGGCTGTGTGATCCTAATGCAGTGCTGAGCTGCGTAAATAACCACAGTGCAGTTAGGGGCAGGGCAGCCACAACCAGCACTGCTTCCTCTCCTCCCGACCGGTGGGCACAGGCCAGACCCCAACTAACGCCTCATTGCACCTACACCCGTGCCCTGGTGCCAGCCGCGGGCAGGAGCACCACTGCTGGCGCAGGAGGCCCTGGCACGCTCTGTCTCTGCAGCTGGGTGGGTTACGAGCACACTGGGTTCTGCGGGCAGCAGTTCATCCTCGAGAGGGGAGAGTACCCGCGCT